AAAAAAAAAAAAAAAAAAAAAAAAAAAAAAAACATTTTTTTTTCTTATTTTAAACTTTTGTGGTCGTTTGGGAAATTTGCTGCACAAGTGACGTTAGTTTCGTTCTAGGCAGGATGAATATGCTTGGGCTCTCGCACTTCTCATTGTATTTTGCGTACTTGTATTCCTCTCACTGGTCATCACACTACTTTGTTGGCTGTACAATCGGTCCAAAGACAAACGCCAGAAGAAGCTTATCAATGAATCCGTTGGCGGAGTGAGTGCAGCACCATCACAGGTTTGTCTTGACATATTTGACCATTATTAATTGCGGAAAAACACTGAAATTTTAATTTAAAAATCTCGGAGATGATGGGTATTTTAACTCAAAATACGTGTTATAACTCCCAGAAACTTCCGGTTTTGTTAGTGGATGATTTGCAGGTAAATATGGCCGGATTAGAGAATCGAAATGAAGTCGGTTATTATCCATACGTTGGTGGTCCTAACCAACTTTGACTTTTGAAAGGTTATAAATTTGAAAATCATGTAAATCTGGAAAACTTGGAGAAGCAGAGATTATCCCATAAATTCTTTCAACTTAACTTCTTTGAACCTTGATTGTTACGCTCAGCTTCGAACTATGATAATGCAACAATCCGAGGACGAGTCGGGAATTCCGGAGATTCAGCTTATCGCATTATAAGCAGTCGCGCAGCAGAATACAGCTTTAAAACAATAGAATGAGCATCCCAACCAGTGAATCTGGGAACAAATCCAAACATATAACTCCAAACCCAAATGCAGAACTTTGCTGACCGGCAATCAACGGTGTCGCTATCGCCCATGTCCAAATGTTCCAGCATTTCCCGCCTCATTTATTGGTCTTAGCTGTACATAACAAAACGCATGAGGAAATCGCCACGCTTCCTTTATCTGCTACCTTATCGTCTCATGAAAAACTGTATAAGTTTGCATTGTTAAAGTCACAACTCCAACAATGTTCCTGGATGTTGGCGCAGATTGTCGTTGACATTCCTTTCGGATTGCAAATGACCTATTTTTTGCACTTTTGTGTTGATATTTGTATGAGCTGTTAATGAATTTTTGGTGCAGACAACACGAACTCAACCACTTACATTTGTAAGATATGAAAACTGCAATAGACTGACCATAACTGACCAGAAAAACCGAAACCAAATTTTCTGTAGATGGTTCACTCATGTCGACAAACTAATTAAAAGTGAAATAATTTGTCTGTGAATGAGACAATCGTCTTATTGCAAGCTCCAGTATGTTATACGCTTCTTACGCTCCCTTCGACGACTGGTCTTGGCATAAGGATACGCAGGAATTTGGCCATACAATCATTCGTCTAAATATGCTGCTACTTGTGCAAATGCAAAGAAATTGTTTTAATCGAATTTTGTGCACTGGAAAACCAATAAGTTCGAACAACGGAGAAACCAAACGTCTGTCACTGCGCATGCACGGAGAAATTCACAGATATTATTTCCGAAATTGTGACACTGCGAGCAGTTATCGCCATCTTCAGTACTGCGCCGCACAAAAAAACAGCCGGAGACAAAAAAAAATTCAATAAAATATTACGACATTGCCACGTAATGAACAATTTCCGGGATTTTAACGAA